AAAGTGAGACATATATATATATATATAGGCATGCTGTTTTGGCGGAATCAACAATGTATTAGTTTGTGATTTTGTGATAAGGTCTGGTTTCTGGTAGGTCAATGACATTTTGTAAGTAGTTGTGTTAGCATAGGCACATCTCATTACCATAGAGAATATTTGGCCCCACTCCCTTAGTCATGGTCTATTGACTTTGACACTTTGCATAGTTTACATGTATATGTTTGTGATTAGGTCAGTTTAGGGGGAACCACTAGTGGTAGGTCAATGATATTTGGTGTGCAGTTGTATAAACTTTTTCATTTCTAATTTCCATTGAGATTATTTGGCCCCGCCCCCTCAATCATGCTCTTTTTACTTGAAAACTTATGTTACTTTGAAATTTCATTTATTAGTTTTCGATTAGGTTAGTATTAGGGAAACCAATAGTGGTAGGTCAATGATAATTGGCATGTAGGTGTAGAAGCATTAGTACGTCTCATTTCCATAGAGGATATTTGGTCCTCACCCCTCAGTCATATGCATGATCTATTGACTTTGAAACTTTTACTTAGTTTACATGAATGAGTTTGTGATTATTATGATTATGTCAGTTTAAAATTACCAGTAATCTTAAGTCAAAGCTATTTGTTATGCGAATGTATTGGTATTCAAAAGTTTCATTTCAATGGATATTATATAACCCCACCCCCTCATTATGGTTCATTGACTTAGAAATTGAATTTGTGTTAAGGTTTGTTTAAAGGGAACGACTTATGAAAAGTCAATGGTATTTGGTTTGCAGTTGAACAAGCATTGGCACCTTTCATTTCCATAGAGATTGTTTAGCCTTGTACCTTCAGTCATGGTTCATTGACTTTGAATATCACTTACATGTTAAAGTATTACTATTTTAAGTGTAACATTTGCATTATCAAAATAACAAATAGGCAAAACATTACGTTGTGTTAATAGCTTATTATAGATTAGACATGTGTAATTATTATAAAAATAGGGGGAGATGTGGTATGATTGCCAATGAGACAACTATCCACCAAAATTCAAATGAAGTGGATGTAAGCAATTACAGGCAACCGTACAGCCTTCAAAAATATATGTTGCATCATTGCTAGGCCATTATAACAACATCAGCATTTCTTGTAATACTAGTATACAAGAAAATTACACCATTTCAGATAGTTTCAGGTATGATTTGATAATTGTGCATAGTGGCACCAGCTGATCCAACTAAAAGCGCTAATATGGCATATTCAAACTCTAGAACATAGTGGAATTAAACCATACACCACTGTTGGACACCATAATTGAAATTATTATTCTGAAAAGAATATTCCTCCATGCAGCCTGCAACAATTAGCAAAACCTATACTGCATAGTAAGATATAAACGACCACGAAATGACAAATGTAAAACAATAAAACTAAAGCAGCCTGATTTATGTACAAAACAATTATGAAAAATAAATATGATATACAGCAACAATCAACAATCACCAAATTACTGGGTCCTCACTATGGACAGGTACATACAGAATGTGGCGGGTTAAACATGTTAGCTGGCACAAAACTCTCCCCTAACATGGGACAGTGTATGTGCATAATCTCAGACATTGAATCTTTAAAAAATAAATTGGAAATAACTTTTGAAAGTGGTAGGATTGGATAGCAGAAACATTACGGTACAAACATTATTTGATACTTGAGAAATAGCTGAGATATATAGATTCTACCACTGCATCGAGTGTGATACGATATTTATCCACTCGAGACAGTCAATGACAGTTAAATTTTCAAATTTAAAACGCGAGGCTCGCCGAGCGTTTTAAATATTTTTTTTTAAAATTTAACTGTCGAGAGTGGATAAATATCGTATTACACGAGATTTGGTGGTGGAATCTGTTTCTCTAATGATTTTCAAACAATATTCAGGCAAACTTATTCCGTTTTTTCGAATAATCTGTAAAAAGATGTGTTCTTTCTATGTGACGTCATCAGACATGGTCGCCTTTTTTCATGCCGTCACAATAGGAAATTCAGAGGAAAGCAAGTAAATTCGACGTCATAATCGGATTTTAACCAATGAAGAACTGAGATCAAACGAACCACACGTTGATTAAATTTTTTGTATACAATGGGTGCAGAAAGGGATAAATTGACGAAGAATTAGAGAAAAATATTTTCATCCATTCTTCCGCTATATTCATCTTAACTTCTGCCAAGTTTACCTTTGATTTTTTTAATTAACTGCCTATAGCGCCTTTGGTGCTTTGATTTCTTGTTTGTGATTGTCTTCCGGGGAATGTTTTTCTTGACTGATGTAAGTAGTCTGTCAGTGAATGTTTTCCAGAGGTCATTAGTGGATGAACTATGGTAATGACCTTTACTATCTTGTGTTAGTTTATTCACGTCTTCCTTGATGTTTTCCCAGTAAGTTTTTTTTTATACTGGTTTGTTTTTCTGGTTATTTTCTTATTTCGTTTCAAAGATAGTGCACATTCTGCATAGACGATATCGTGGTCTGCATTTCCGATAGGGCGTATAGTTTCCACTTTGTTTACTAAATATGCTTGGTATGTTTATATTTTTTCTTTACTTTTGTAAATTGTAAATTGTTTGTTATTCTGTAAAAACTAATTTTCTGAATGCTATATATATATTTTTGATTAGGTGAACTCCTTTCAAAACTTAGCTTATATTGTCTATTAATAAACATATATTTAGATTTCTGATTTTGGGCCCCGTTTTCAAGTTGGTCCAAATCAGGGTCCAAAATTAAACTTAATGTTTGATTTCAACATAAATTGAATATATATAGGGTTCTTTAAAATGCTGAATCTAAACCTGCATTTATTTTCATTATTAGTTAGATAATACCACATCGAGGTACTAAGGGTCCTAAATTAAACTTTTGTTTAATCAACAATTGAATTCTTGGGTTCTTTGATATGCTGATTTTAACAATGTTTGAGTGTTAAATCATATCTAATTAAAGAGAACTTAGTCATCACTGGTTGTTGTTATATAATATTATTGATTATAATTTGAAAAATTAAATCATATCTAATTTTATAGAACTTAGTCATCACTTTATTCATTATAATCATATCTATTTATCAAGTTTGAGTTATTTCCCCTTGCACAGAAAATATACGGATAAAACTAAATTGTGTTTCATTTCAACTTAAATTAAATATATATATAGTTCTTTCAAATGCTGAATCTAAACCTGTATTTAAATATTAGATTTTTGGGCCCAGTTTTCAAGTTGGTCCAAATCAGGGTCCAAAATTAAACTAAATGTTTGATTCACAAAAATTGAATTTATGTGGTTCCTTGAAATGCTGAATCTTACCATGTATTGAGAGATTTTGGATTGTGAGCTCCTGTGTCAAATTGGTCCACATTGTGGTCCAAAGGGTCCTAAATTAAACTTATGTTTGATTTCATTAAAAAATGAATTTTTGGAGTTCTTTGATATGCTGATTCTGACAATGTACTTAGATTTTGGATATTGGACCATAATAGGTAAATGTCCAATTTCAAATATTTCAGTTCTTTGACCACATTCATTTTGTGTCACAAACCTATGCTGTGTCAAATATTCAACCACAATCCAAATTCAGAGCATTTTTAAGCTTAAATGAAGTGTCCATACTTGCTCAACTGTTCAGGGTTTGACCTCTGCAGGAAAATCCGGTTTGCTGTCACTCTGACAGCCTCTTGTCTGAAACATAGACTACATATAACTTTTATATATCTAGGTCCTGCCATGCATTAAAACTTTCCTAGATACACCAGTTTGTCTGTACTCATAATAGATTTTGTGGTGTAAATACGTCCATATTTTTCAATTCCTTTTTGATGAACCTTATTCGTGTATAAGTTAGGCCACACCAATTTGATTAACAGTTCATTGGACAAAAGCTCCGAAAAAATATTTAGGTTTATTTTATTTTATAAATTTAATGGTAACAATAGCTTCCCTGGTGCATCGAGGCCGATAGTAATTTACGAGTTACGTCCCTTAGTTTGACACTCTCATAATCAAACTATTATTATATTAAGCACCATATGCTGTTATTTACATGAGGATATTATTAAAATAATTTTATTGAATATATTTTGATACTAAAGACATGTGCCAAAAAATTAGCGAAACACATTTTATCACTTTTCAGAACTCAGTCTCAGTGAAATACTCAAATAGGCCCTATGTCAGTATGTGCCATATTATTATTCCAAGAGTTAATTTAATATTTATATTTTGGTAAGTATTTATACTGCTGTAACCAAATTATTTCAACACAGAAATAAATTTCTACTTTAACCATACAAAGGGTAGCCAAAATATTCATGAATAATGGATCAAGACAGGATTAAAATAATCAAATACAGGAACTCCTTTTCATTACTGATACCTGATCCTACCTTTTTCACTTAAACTTAAACGAGACCATAATGAAAGTATTCTGAATGTAAATTCTTCATTATTTGAAATAAAAGGAAATTAGTTTGCAATTCTTGTATGAACAAACTAAATATAACAATAAATTTTGTCTCACTGATTCCATGCAGATTCTAATGAATGGACTCAAATTATAAAAAAAAAACACTAAACCAATAAATAAATGGTTCTAATCATGAACTTGAAAAAGATAAAAAAAAAAAGACTGGGTCTAATTTGTTCTTCTTCTATTTCATTTTTTTTAACAATTATGCATTTTTATATTTATATAAAAGTTACTTCAGAGCAGATTCTAAGTGCTAAGTCAACAATATACATTTATTTCCCTTGATTGAGGGAAATATGAAGATTTGTTCACCCTCGAAAAGTCATATTTCCCGAGGGCATCGCCCGAGGGAAATATGACTTTTCGAGGGTGAACAAATCTTCATATTTCCTGAAGGCAAGGGAAATGAATGTTTTATTCCACTATCTACATTTAATTTGTCTTCCTGAAATGGAATATGAAAACAATGAAAATAGTACAACAATAAAAGATAACTGCAACTTTTTATTTCAACAATAACAACAAAACAAAATAAAAAGTTATAACAAATACATGTGTATGATTGTCATGTAATAAAGTATGTGAATACTGGAGTATTAAATGTTTTTGCTACATGTGCATGTATGTTTATGAGTAATTGAAAAAAGTGATAAAGTGTCAAAAGGTATTGTTTTTTTTTTTTTAACAATTTTTAACAATTTTTGAAATTTTCCATGGATAAGCTTCACTTAGTTGGCTTGAAAATTGTTCACTGTAACATTAACAGAACAGTTTTCAAATTTTGGAACAAAGGAAAAAAATCCTCTTGACCCACAACACTCAACCTGATTGGTTTTATTCATTTGGACATTCATGCATCTTTCTTGCAATGGTTGTGTACGATTGTCTTTCATATCACATGATTTATTAATTGTGTTCAAACCATGCATTAGATTCAAATCACTCAAGACATTTTCATTAACTTCTTCCAGTTGCATATCATTTGAAAACAGTTCTAAAAGTTCCTGTGGTGGAATAGGCTGCAGTACTTCAGAAGTTTTTTCAACAACTACATTTTCAATTTCTGATGAATGCTCCTGTTTATTTGTAGAGATTGCCTTGCTCAAAATATCAGATATTTCCCTCTTTTTTTTATCACTAACACGGTTTGAGTAGGATTTTAATGAATTTTCACTTCTGTGACCAGACACCATCATTATGTGACGACCTGTTACCCCTCCTACATCCATTACTGTGATGCTGGTAGCTCTAATGGAATGGTTGGTATATGCCATAGACAATAAAGCAATATGAGATATTTCAGACATCATACCAGCCAGAGTGTTTTTCCCAAGAGGAGATTTGCAATACCATGTAGATTCACCCACATCAAAGGATGCTTTTGGTCTTTGCCATAAAGCTTCAAGATCTGGACACAATTTTGAAATATAATTTTCAAAAGAAGCTACTGGACATTTCAAATCACCTGAAAAATTTAATAAAAATATTAAATACTAGATTTTGTTTGTTTTTTTTCTCTCTGATAGCAATTTAATAAAGTATATTAGACATTAAAACTACAATGAATGCAATTTCATTAGAAACCATCTGACAAAATTTATGTAATTTTACTGATTCTGTATGTTAATTATCTTTTGACAGTTATACATGTATTTAAATAAATTTTCTGCAATTTCTTTATTTTGAAATATCATAATTGACATGATTGAATTGAATTTATAGACTCTGTGATGAAAAACCGCAGTCAAAGATCTCTTCTAATGTTTTTATTTTAATATTCTTGTGCGCGTATAGTAATTTTTCTTCAGCAATAATGCATTTTTCATGTATTTTATGCCAATTCATATATAAAGTATATTTGTTTTTTTATTCTATTCATAAATTTATACATTTTGTTACTAAATAATATATCTACCAAGCAAGGATTATTCTGCAGTATGGGTTCTGCTTATTGTTGAAGGTCGTACAGTTACCTATAGTTGTAAACTTCTATTTTGTTTGGTCGCTGAGTGGAGATTGGACATACCACATCTTCTTACAAATGTCTTATAATACATGTATATATGCACAAAAATAATAAGAAATAGCAAGATGGAAAATTACCTTTCTTCTCGTACATCCTTCCTTCTGTAACTGAGTCAGATGGATCAGTGTTGGCCCTATGATTTTTGTCTAGTTCATCCTTGTTTTGGTAAACATATTTCATACCACTTGCATCTTTTTTCACACGAAATGTATCTTTGGTCATTGTACGTAAATTTTCCTGACCTCTTCTACACAGGAAAAGCATTAACTCAAACCAAACTTTGAACTGGAGACCATAAGGAGTATTGACGTAAAGTTTCTGTAAATCCTCCTCAGAAATATCAGGATAATGATCAACTTTAGCAAAGCCCTTGCGCTTTAAATCAACCTTAACTGCTTGGAATATCAAATTGCTCTTGGTAAATTCATTGTCCTTGTTTATGTCAATGTTTCTTTTTTCATGTAGGTATCTTTTTAATCCGTATTTGACATTTTGAATAGCCGATTTCTTGAACAAACTTCCGTCAGATTTACGAGCACCAGCATAAAAACTCTTCAGTGCAACGTCGAGTTCTGAAAGTTCATACTCCTCAAATTTTATGTTTTCCCTCCCCCTCTCCTCAAGAAATTGTCGGAAACATTTAACTGCAACTGCAGTACTTTTTTTTGTGTTTAGTGAATCTTTGTTTTGTAACAATTCTTCAATTTCATCGTCGTCTGCCACATGAAATCGTTTGGCCATTTTTGTTTACAAACAAATTGCGTTTACAAACAAAAATATTCGGAAGCTCTCTAGACTTTTCGATTCATTATTTTTTGTTCAAAGAAGGATAACTCTAGTATAATCTTGAGAAATTCGAAAAAGGGGAATATGACAATTGAATATGATTTTCAGAGGGGAATATGATGTTTTGTTAAATATCACATGGGACAGTCTCAACCAATGAAATGTTCGTTTAGCTATCAATATTTACATATAGTGGAATAATATGTTTTAGATCACAAGTCATAAGTAAGTCACACTTCATGTCAGTATGAACCTGTTTTGAATAAGAGTGATTAAAATGCTAGTCTGAAAGAGATTGTTTTAAGTTCATATTTAGGACTAGACTTTTTCATTTACCTTTGGCAGTTTTGCAGGATTACTTCATCACAATTTTTTTTATAATGTTATAAACGATGAATGAGTTTTGGTTAAGGTTGTGTAAAGACAGTATACGATTTCCTTACCTTATTTTAGTTAAGTCAAACAATTCACTGACTTAAAGAGAATAATTAATCCAGTCAAATATTCACAGCTGAACTCGCCATTGCTTTTTCAAACAAACACTAAATGTGTGTACATTGTGGAAAGATGCTAGTTGACATCGATATGTAAGATAAAAAAACTACAATGTCAAAAAATGTCTTTCGTTTGGAATTTAGTTCGAACGGGGTTTCCTAAGGGGTGATAGAACGTTAGACTTCATTTTTGTTTTAACTTTGAGATACTTATTATTAATTTTTTATATAGTTTGTATATTCTTTGTTTATCTGGAAAAAAAAAGAAGAAAAAAATAACAGACAATTTCGCATAATTCTTAAACGACAATCAAAGGCATTACGTTATTGTTAAAAGACGGACAATTTATAACATGTTTAAGTATTATTTTCTTTGATAATAAGAACCATGCTTTAAAAATCGAAAGAAATCTATTTCTGACCCTAATGGCAAGTAAGAAACAGAAAAAAGAAAAAATTCCAAATTGGCGCCAAATTATTTTTTCCGCGAAATTAACGCAATTTCAGAATGGCGGGTTTTAATATCAGTCCCATTGTTGTCTTAAGAAAGTAGCAACAACGGTCGTTTCTAAGGGCTTGCTTTCCGACTGCACAACACGTGGTCTAAAGATTAAATAATGGTGAGACACATGTATTGCTGAATAAATATAGCATATAATATATACCCAGGTAGCACAAAACATTTTCACAACATTTTTATAAGGTTGTATAAATGTCGTCTCAAAACGTTGTCGAAAAAATATTTTCGTGATGTTATGTAGATATTTTTTCTTGTATTTTAAAAACATTTATTTAAAACATTTTTTGAAAATGTTTTTACAATGATGTAAGAATATTCATGAAAATGTTTTCAATGACATTTTTTAAGATATTTTGTTTGAATGTTTTATAAATGTTCAGAAGATATGTACGTTCTACCTCTGAAAAACATTTTAAAAGCATATGAGTAAAACATTCTTAACAATATTGCTGCGATGTTTTTAAAACATTTTCTACATATGTTTTATGAAATGTTTTAATAACATGCCTTTAAGATATTTTAACAACATTTCTTCATAATATTTGATGAAAACATTTTAAAAACGTTACGCATTTAATATTGAGAAAATGAATTTATAAAACATTTTGTTACTAATATTTTAACAACATTTTAAAATAATATTATGAATACATTTACCCAAAAACATTTAAAAAACGTTACGCATTTAATATTGAGAAAATGAATTTATAAAACATTTTGTTGCTAATATTTTAACAACATTTTAAAAAAAATATTATGAATACATTTACCTAAAAACATTTAATAGAAAATGTTTAAACAATATTTTGCAAACATTAATTTAGGTTATGGAAGAAAAACTTTATTTCATCAAATGACAGTGATTGTTTTTATTCAAAGCGGTACTTCCCATATATAGCCTTTTACAGTGCACGTATTGCTATTTTCCGGATTTTCTGTTCCAGTACCGACAACAAAAGTTTACACATTTAAAATCTAACTGTTCCGGATGACCAACGAATATGATCCGAAGCAATTTTGGAAACCAGTAACCGGAAGTTTTATTACCATGCTGTAAACAAAGACAAAGGAAACGTACAAAATAAAGAATAACCTTATCATGCGTTAAAACTGGTAAGATATGACACTAGTTCACATTTATAAAACATTGTTATGCTTCTGGAAATATCTTGGTTAATTTGATTAATATATTCCAAGAATTAATACGAGTGTAAGCAAGCACAATGCAAAAAGGGGGTGATGATTTAGTCTACCTAGATGTTATGATGTTTATGTCCAGTGAACATTACGAATTATAGAAAAGGGGTTAAACTAAAGGGTTATTTATATGATTTTAAAATTCGTAACCAGTGAGCATGTCTGAAAAGTTCTGTGTTACAAGTCCGCCCTTTGACGCTTTGTTGGCTTTAACAGACTGAGCTATTTAAGCAGTACTTCCTTAGCTCAATCGCTGGCTACGTATCTACTAGTCAAAGAATCTCAAACACGCAATGGTTAGCTATAAACACACAATATATAACGCATACCAGTCGACTGGCATATATTTCCACCCCAAAATATCTATGATACGCGCCCCTGTGCTATAATATATTTTTTATGTAACTTGTACATTTGTGTTTAGCCCTACAGCCCAGCCCAAGGCCAGATAATTATTTATGTGCCGGTCCCAAGACAGAAGTTTGATTTAGTAGTTGTCGGTTCATTTCTGACATATTTGTTTTATAAATTATGCCATTAGTTTCATTGTTTGAATTGTCTTTAATTATACGCCCGTTTACGGGACTTATTATGGTATACCGTTGTCCGTATGTCTGTCGTCAACATGTCGGACATTAACTCATAAATGCTTTAACCAGTTTGAATAAAACTTTTTAAATTTTAGATTTTACGTTTCCGAGTTCTGGAGTTTTATTCATTAAAATAGCGTGGATTTTCTAGTTTTCGGACAATAACTCAAAAACGCTTTCAGCAGTTCTCTTTAAACTTTAGTGAATATTTTATATCTATTGACTAAAGCTCCCTTTCAATTTTCATGAATTTCTGATTTGACATTGAGAAATGATCGACTTTTTTCTTCGAAAAATGCAACGGGCGTATCATGCGCTCATGGCGCAGCTGTTTATTTTTGAATGTTGTGGCCTTTGTAGCTGACTAATACAATGTGACTTTTTCTTACCTGTATTTTATTTATTTTGTTTATTTTAACTTTTGTAGGATCAATTAGCATGATTAGACGTACCAAAATTTAGGATAGATTTTCAGAAATGCAGATTAAAATTGAGAATGGAAATGGGGATTAAATAGAAGAATATAAGCTTAGAAATGATTCAAACCATCCTGGACGAGCAAATTTTATGAAGGTATTTATTCTTTAAAATCCTCAATCTATAGTACATGTATTTGTGCTAAAATATACAATAACCATTACGAAACTTGGTTTTTTTGTAAGACCAAGAAAATGTTACAGGCCCTACACGGCTGGCTACTCTAAGTTGAGAAAATTGTAGTGTACAGTATATATGTCTTATTTTATAAACTGGTGAAATCTACCGTTACACTTTTGTAATAATAATACACCCCTAACTCTACAGATGTATAAAGTAGCTACAGTTGTTGCTTCTGAATCCATTAACACTGATTAGATGACACTTTTCAATATATTTTTCTGAAAACACTGGATTAAATTGAAGAAAAATAGTTTATTGTGTAATTCAATGAAATTAGCTGAATTTCCACTCGTTTAATCACTAAACAGAAGGACTTGTTTACACTTTATTTTACAGAAGCCAGCAGATGTCAAAAGAAATAAAAAGAATGGAACAAAAGAAACTTTGAAAAAGAACAGTGATACGAAAATATTGAATAAATGTTTTGCATTTATAATTGTAATTCTATCTTGTATAGTGTTGACTAAGGCAGCAAAGAAAACAGTCAAAAAACTTCAGAAAAAAAATGTCCGATGCTACATGTGATCAAACATGAGATCGAGAGATACTTCTCAAAAAAATGCACTAAGATTAAAATCAGAAAAAAACCATGACAAATTATTACGTGTTCAAGGTATTACAAAAAATAGGGTTATGTCAATGATACATCAATCCGACAAAAGTAAACAAAATATATGTAGATTCAACTGTAATCAACAAACAATTGTAAAAGGAGATGTGGGGTAAAGATCAGTATGACAGCAGTTGTTTTTCAGATGCAGATCCAGGATTATGAAAAGAGGGGTCACAGGCTCTAAATTAGACAAAGTTTGAGTGAAATAGTAGGAATTAGATTAACCATAATTGTAGCTCCATAAGGGGACCCAGGACCCCCCTCCCCACCCCCAGATCAAACATGATTAAAATGTTTTTTGAATATTTTATAAAACATTTGAATGATGATGTAAGAAAACATTTTTCTAATGATATTCATATAACATTTAAATGATGTTTTGAGAATATGAACATTATTAAAACATTTTGTGAAATGTTTTTTGAACATTTTCACAACATTTTATCCTACAAAAACATTTTTTTTATGTTTTAAAAATGTTTCAAGGATATTTTATAAACATGCATATTTAAAACATTTACAAAACATTTTACAAATATTGTCAACAAAATTCAGAAACGTGTTAATGATGTTTTAAAAATATCCTGGACATGTTATGGGAAATGTTTTGAAAATATTTTTAGCGCCATACATTTTAATGTGATTTTGATATTTTCTACGATATTTTCACAACATTTTTCAAAATGTTTTTAAAACATAAACACAATGTTTTTGTGTTAACTGGGTATGCATAGAATAATAATTATATGTACAAGTTTATTTCTTTCAAAATGTTACCATGTTTAACTCTTGTTAGTGTCGAAATATTTAAATAGTACAAAAAATCTTTTTTGAACAGGGCATATGCATCAAGATTTGTAGTTTTATAATTTGAAATGTGAGTGCACTTGTGGATGGAAAATGCAATGAGTGTAACCAAAGATTTATGTCATAATAATTGATGTCACAGATTTTATATCCTACTATGAGATTTCTGTAGTTTAGGATATGATGACCAATTTTAACTTTATTTAATAGTATTTTGATCTTTTCCCAAAAAGCTTTAAAGTATTGACATTCCAGAAAAAAATGTTTATAATCTTCTGTTTCATTACATAAGTCACATTTACTGTCTTCTTTTATCTTCCATTGAAAGAGCAGTTATTTACAAGGAAGGATATGATGCAACAATTTCCATTTAAATATTTTTAATCTGTTATCTTTTAAATAAGTAAATACAAATTTTAGCATTGATTTAATTGGGATTAAAGAATCTAAATTTAGTACACGTTTCCATTTTAAGAAACCTGGAGGTATGTCTTCATTTCTACTATTAATATGTGTGTATATCTGTTTTGTTTCCATTGCTTGTAAATTTGTTATCTTATTTTTTTCTTTTGTCTTAATGCAAAGGTTAAGTTTATTTTTTACTTTTGATTTTATTGATTGATCTGATTTAAGTGTCTTGAGCCATTCATTTGGTATAGCATATTTAATTTTTGAAATTTCAAACATTAAATTGGATTTTGAGAAAATTTTATTAGATATTATATCTTGAGAGATGTTACTATTCTGGTCAATAATATCATTAACATACATAATACCTTCTTTTATCCATTTTATAAAAACTAAACACTTTCCTTGAAACTTTATCATTTTGTTTCCCCATAAGATTTGTTGTCTAATGTTTTTAAAATTCATCGTGAGTTTGGTGTTATTTAAATTTTGTACTTTGAACCAGGATTTTACAATTTCTAAGTAAAATTTTGGTAAAGTTTTATGTAGGTTTTGTATGCAGTAAATGTTATCTGGATTCATGTAAAGTAACATGAAATTAGCACCAAATTTATTAAAGTAAAATGTCGGAATCACTTTCCAGTTAGCAAAATTATCTGCAGTTAGTCTTTTAATCCATGCTATTTGTAGTGCAGTTATATAATTGTCTATATCTGTCATCTTAAGACCTCCATCTGTAGTATCTTTGCTTAATATGGTTCGTTTTCATTTTTCTTGTTTACCATCCCATATAACATTATAAATAAGGGTTTTAAACTGTTGAATAAATTCATGTGGTAGGTTTGTGACTGAAGCCAAATATGTAAGGTTTGGTATAAGAAGAGATTTTACAATTGTTATTTTACCTATCATTGTAAGATTTCTTTTTTTCCAATTACTTATTAATTTGTTACATTTTTGTATTATTTTTTCAGTATTAAGCTTATCACATTCAGCTCGATTTGTTCCAAAATAAACTCCTAGACTTTTTATTGGTTCTTTATTCCATTTTATGTCTTCAAACTTATCTTTACAATTTTTTTATTTTCCTAACCAAATGCCCTCTGTTTTTGATCTGTTAAGTTTTAAACCTGATAGTGTTCCAAAGATTTCAATAATATTAAGAGTGTGACGTACTTCATTTTTTGATTTTAGAAAAAGTTTTGTGTCGTCAGCTAATTGTGAGTTCTTTAAACTATTCTTATACAGAGTTTTAACCCATTTTATAAAAGGATTTGGAATTCCAAATTTCTTTAGTGCTTCATACATAAATGGCCATTCCAATGAGTCAAAAGCTTTGGAAAAATCTATGAAGAGCAATGCTCCTTCAATATTATAGTATTCTGCATGGTCTATTATGTCTTGAATCTGACGAATGTTGAAACCTATATACCTATTTTTTATGTAACCATTTTGGTCACTATGGATAATTTTAGTTAGTATTGGCTTAAGACGTAATGCTAAAGAATATGTAATAAGTTTTGTGTCAACATTGAGTAAAGTAATTGGTCTATAGTTGTCCAAAAGAAGAGGTTTTCCTTTTTTATATAATAAAGAAACTACCCCTATTTTTTGTAGTGTGCTCATTTCTTCTTTTTGATAGCATATGTTAAATACTTTTACAACAATTTCTTTTAAATTTGTCCAGAAGGTTCGATAAAATTCTACACTGAGCCCGTCAATACCTGGTGATTTATTTAATTTCATGGATTTAATAGCTTCTGTACATTCATTTATAGTAAGCCCCCTTTCTAGATTTTGAGTTTCCTCCTGAGAAAGAGTTTTATCTACTTTTGTTTCTTTTATATATTTTTTATTTCATTTTCATTAGGATTTGTACTTTTATATAAATTTTCATAAAAGTTTTTTCTAACTTTAAAATTTCAGATGAATCTGTTATAGTTTCTCCTTTTTCATTTGTAAGGGCAGAAATATTTTTACGAGTATGTCTGGATTTTTCAAGGCCTATAAAAAATTTTGTGTTTTTTTCTCCTTCTTCTGTCCATTTTACACGCGATCTAACCTGAGCTCCCTTTGCTTCATTTATGTAAAGGTTTTCTAGTTTTTTCTCAACATTGTTTATTTTATTTTGAACATTATTATCCTGGAAGTTTTCTACATTTTCATTCAATTTTTTTAATGACAGTTCTAATTTAATTATTTCATTTTTATTTTTAGCTTGTTTTTGCCTGCAGTATTTAATGGTTATGTCCCTTACTTCAGCTTTAAAAACATCCCACTTAACTCGAGGATCTACAGCCTTTGTAAGTATTTTTTTTTGTAAGTTTGAATCAAATTATTAATGAGATTTTGATATTGTATGTCGTTCAGTATACTATTATTAATTTTAAAGTAACCTCTGCCTCTGCTTTGTGCTTTGTGTCTTAACTTTAACGAAATTGCTTGATGATCAGTGTAAGAAATAGCAGCTGGTCTAACATCTGCTGCTGTAATATGTGGCCTTATGTCGGAGCTGATAAGAAAATAATCTATCCTGTTGCTATGTTAAAGTTATTTTTCCTTCTCCAGGTAAACTGTCTTTTATTTGGGTTAACTTCTCTCCATATATCAATTAACTTATGTTTCTTTATTAACTGTTTTAAACTATTTACAGGTTTATTAAATTTTTGTGTACTCGTACTTTTTCTGTCCTTTTCAGTCAGACTTTCGTTTATATCCCCTCCAAGTATTAAAATACCTAATCTTTTATTCTCAATTAAGTTGCTTATTTTTTTAAAGAAAGAATTTCTATTTCTTTTTATGTTTGGTGCATATACATTTACTAAAGTGAAGATGTTATTATCGAGTTCTACATTAATTAAAATAAACCTACCCTCTTCATCTTTAGTTTCATTTATTATTTTGTGATTTATGTTATCTTTAATTAAAATTGAAACGCCTCTAGATTGGGAATTGCCAAAGCTATGGTATATCTTACTTTTAGTTTCACTGTTTATTGTATTTATGTTTTTATCAATGAAATGAGATGTTTCTTTCATGTCTTTCTACATTATCAGTGACAGCTACAGATCACTCTGCATGTATCTGAAAAAAATAATGAAACTTGGTTAAAAAAATGGTGGCAGAATAATCATCAGGAGGATTTTGGAGACAATTAACAGGAAAAAAGAAAAGATTATATCAATCATTTTTAACATTAATACTCCAGACTTGTTTATGATTTTTTCCTGCTTCTACTTGCCTGATAAGTCTTCGTCAGACAACAAACAAGGTTATCTAGCTACTATTTTTTCAGCTGATCAGAAATGTTAAGATAGAATTGACAACGTCTCAATCCAAAAAGAGCTGATGGGCATGACTTTATATTTTTGGTGCCAGAAAGCTATGACAGCTTATGCAGCTCTGTCACCTTGCCATGTTATAGTTATAAATTATCATTATTAAAATCAGATATTCAAATTTGATTGTCATAGCATATTATAGACTGAACAGTAATTGTTATATACAGCAGATATGGGAAATAAAGTAATCATAGATACCAGGATTAAAATTTTGTACACCTTGTAAACAGACAATTGTAATGTCACCTACAAAAAATTCATACCTACTTTAAAAAGAGACAACTAAATTTATGCAAAAGGTATAAAATTTCTGAAATTTCGTGTGACAACAATGTTTATTTTATCATATTTGATTGTTTGATTGTCATGATTGAAGCTTAAAGAACAAGAGACACACCTGTGCCTGTTTCACTCACCTGGGCTGGTGAAAAAATAGCCAGTTTGCTATTTAGGACTTTTATATGCATGTACTATAGTTATTCCTTGTGTTACTGATCATATTTGCAAATCAGCACTTCTGTGTTGACATAAATTATCATTGATAATAATAAATCAACTGCTTACAAAACTTAGAATTTTTCGAAATACTAAGAATTTGCAACCCCAGGAAAAGATTACCTTAGCTGTATTTGGTAAAACCTTAAGTAATTTTGGGTCCTCGGTGCTCTTCAACTTCATACTTTATTTGGCCTTTTTAACTTTTTTTTATTCTAGCGTCCCTGTTGATAAGGCTTTGTTTTTGGCGTATCAGGTATTTATGATGAGTTTACTTACATGTTTAACCTAGTTCTGATCAGTTTCTATAGATAACAGCCATAACTGCAAAAAATGGTAACAATCAACATTTCTGGGGTAAAAACTCCAAAATGAGGTCAAAATATCGTGGAAAGATCTTGTCATGCTGATAATTTTTTTCAGTTTTCAGTTAGCTCCAATATTTTTGAAAATAACAACCAAAAAAAAGAATGAAAAAATTTGGAAAAAAAATCCATATTTCAGGGGCAATAACTCCAAAAATAGGTTTACAGATTTTTCTCCAATTTTCAAGGTGGATACATCTTGTAATGCTTTTTTTGCAATGTACACTTTTTACCTAGCTCCTATAGTTGTTTAAACAATGACAAGGAAATGCCAAAAAAAGGTACAGATCAACAGTTCAGCGGCAATAACTCAAAATAGGAGGATAGATTTTGTGCTGGTCATTTTTATCCTGTCAGTTTTTCTCTAATTGCTATAGTTTTAGAGAAATTAGCAAAAGTTATAGTTTTGACCTCTATTTTTAGACACAGTGACAGTCAACCTGGACGAAAATCACAAACTTTATAGAAGAGGGACGAAAGATACCAGAGGGACAGTCAAACTCATAGATCGAAAACAAACTAACAACGCCATGGCAAAAAATAAAAAGACAAACAGACAAACAATATTACAGATGACACAACATAGAAAACCAAAGACTAAGCAACACGAACCCCACCAAAAACTGGGGGTGATCTCAGGTGTTTCGGAAGGGTAAGCAGATCCCGATCCACATGTGGCACCCGTCGTGTTGCTTATGTTATTACAAATCCGGTAAATAGTCTAATTCGGTAAGTCACATTCGCGAAAAGGGAGGGTATTGTAGTTACGACATAAGGAACATATCCGATATCATCTGTGAAACGGTTATTCCATAACGGTCAACCAACTCGTGATGGCGTCCGTAAAATTTACGAATGGATGACTTCAACTTCACCATTTGGAACTCTTGGTTTAATAGCTTCCTTGTGAGCAGCAATCCTCTATCAAGGAAATCATGATAGGAAACACAAGCCCGGGAATATCGTATCAATTGGGAGATATATACTCCGTATGCAGGTGCTGCTGGAATGTTGCTACATAGAAATTGAAAGTTCACAATTCGGAAGCTGAAATCATTTCTTTTGTCGTAAAGTTTTGTTTTCAACCGACCCTCATTGTCAATTTCTAGATGTAAGTCAAGATATGAGGCAGACTTAACTGTATCTGCAGTATCCTTTATCTCTAGTTCGATGGGATAGATTATAGATGACATGTATCCTAAAAATGAAGCAGACCAACTTTTTATACGACTGCAAAAAAAATTTTGTGGTCGTATATTGTTATGACGTTGGCGTCGCCGTCGTCGTCGTCCGAAGACACATTAGTTTTCGCACTCTAACTTTAGTTTAAGTTAATGGATCTCAATGCAATTTTACCTTAAGGTTCAATACCACAAAAGGAAGGTGGGGATTGATTTTGGGGGTTATGGTACCAACAGTTAAGGAATTAGGGGCCAAAAATAAGCATTTTTGTAACTTCCAGACATAACTTGTGTGTAAGTGTTTGGATCTCTCTGACATTGTACCACAAGGTTCCATATCACAACTGGGATTGATTTTGGGGGTAATTGCCTCCAAATTTTAGGAATTAGGGGCCAAAAATGGGCAAAACACAAGCATTTTTCTAGTTTCATGACAATACATACACCTTTCCATTATCTACTTGTATGCCCCGCCCCCCTTAGAAACACATGGCAACCCAGCATCCTAGGTCAAGCTAATCAACAAAATGGCGGTTATTATGAACATTGAATGATAACAAAGTAAAGAATTTGTTATAAACAAATATAAATAAAAGGAATATGTTGTTCATATATTTGTTTTTGTGTTGAAATATGATGAAATAGTTACTCCTGAAGGGTTGAGAGATAAATTTAAGATATTTTGAAGAAATTATTTCCATTTATACTGAATAAAAGAAATAATTAAAATATTGCAAATTTGAAGCTATTGGATTACCCTCATTCCCCAAAAATGTAGTTTAACACCAAGATATAGAATATTATATTGCATGATTGATACGATATATTATGATGATAAATTACAGGTTTAATTAAGCATGGCTAATGAATGCTGATAAGTGTGTTTACTGTGTAGACAAACACAGTATGTGTCAACTTGTAAAACAAGCATTATTGCTCCAGTATCTATTGATTGTTTATCAAATAACATTAAACAGGTTTTCTTTTTTTATATCCATAGATAACTTAATGATATTAAAATTCCTATCACTAAGTAAAATATAAAGAACAAAAGAAAATAAATTGATTATGTGCTTACATGGATATTTGGTCATTGTAGTTCGTCTTTGTTTTAAATTTTTACATACCTCTTGTCCTTAACATGAATCTTTGCACATTGTACTCACCCTTTTTTTCAAATTAAGAAAATAAAATGTATACAATACCTCTCACTTCTTTTCTTTTTTTGTTTTTGTAAATTATACTTAAAATTTTGAAAAAAGGTCAAGTACAATCAGCAAATTCTCCCACAGTAGACCAAAGTCATATCAAAATTAAACATTATCTTACTTTTTATGAAGCATCTATTGAAATATAGTTTTTTATTATTATATGAGTTTCCCCTCTGCCTTTTAACGATTAAGGAAATGCTAGCGATGAGGGCAGTACAAACATAAATACTTTCATTTTTATACATTTTGTACACAAAAAGACTACAAATATCTAATTCACTACATCATTTCATTCCATGCAGACTTTCAGATCAGTAAAGTTAATTTCCATCTCATTCCAATGAAGTTGTATATAATTTCTCCTCCAGATTGATTGTAAGGTACTACCTCTACAATAATTTGATCGTCAAAGAACATGGAATAGTTCTTGTACAAATATTATACTGGAAAATTGAAATTTTGTTAATCTGTCCATCCAAAAGATGACAGATATCCTGTAGTTTTCAATTTAAACAGCTTCCAAGTATAAATATTTAAACATTTGAATAAGTCAGGGATAATTCTTTTTAATCGAAATGGGAAAGGTGTCAATTCTTTTGTTGCTGAATCTTTACTATATGATATATAATTGTAATATCCAGAAATTATACATACTAACTTGCATGTTTTATTGTATAAATCTTTTAAATAAATGAAAAAAAATATCAATTTCAATCAACTTGTACACCAATTCAAATCTCGTGTTTCAGAATTTTTTTTTTTTTTTTTTTTTTAAATAGCATGTAAACAATATTTTTATAGCAATAATCACTGCCATCATATTACTTTTTAATTGATTTAATTAATAACTGTCATTCATTAAAAAATCTTTTTTTGTTGTTTCAAGTTGACTACTTGACCTTCCTCTACCCTCTTACATTGATTCCTTTCCCAAAAACAATATTTTGGACAATTTAATTGTTAGTTCAAATTAACTGTTAAGATAAGAATGTTTGACCGAGGTTATGGCCGACAACACGTGCTGCTATCAAATGTTTACACATGTGGTAAATTAACCACATGTGATTGGTCAATTTACTGATGATTGACAGGAGAGTGGAAAGGTGTATAACTTGTGTGTAAGTGTATGGATCTCTCTGACATTGTACTGCAAGGTACCATACCACAAAGGGAAGGCTGGGATTGATTTTGGGGGGTAATTCCCTCAAATTTTAGTAATTAGGGGCCATAAAAGGGCAAAAAAAACATGCATTTTTCTAGTTTCAGGACAATAACTTGTGTGTAAGTGTATGGATCTTTATGAAATTGTACTGCAAGGTTCCATATCACAAAAGGAAAGCTGGGTTTGAGTTTGGGGGTAATTGCCCTAAACGTTTAGGAAGTTGGGTCCAAAAATAGGCCCAAAAACAAGCATTTTTCTAGTTTCCAGATAATAACTTGTGTTCAAGTGTATGGATCTCTCTGAAATTGTACTGCAAGGTACCATACCACAAAGGGAAAACTGGGATTGAGTTTGGGGGTGATGAATCATAAGGGGGTTCAAAAAATTTGGGGGGGGATTTTTTTTTCCTTTTTTTTTCTTAAAAATTTTCCATTTTAAATTGGTTATTTCTGATTTATATATAAAAGCAAATAATAATGATATGGTTTGAATAGGTAAATTAAAAATTTTTAAGTTCTTAGACCACTTTCATTCTGTGTGAGAAACCTATGCTGTGTCAAATATTTAATTACAATCCAAATTCAGTGCTGTATCAAGCTTGAATGTTGTGTCCATACTTGCCCCAACTGTTCAGGGTTCGACCTCTGCGGTCGTATCAAGCTGCGCCCCAGCGGAGCATTTTATTTTATTCTATTGAGCAGTTTCAGAAGAAAAAATTTTTATAGAAAAGTTTACGGACAACAGACAACTGACCAAAGTGGTGGCGAGCTAAATAAAATACACTTACACACAAGTTATTGTCCTGAAACTAGAAAAATGCTTGTTGTTTTGCCCCTTTATGGCCCCTAATTCCTCAAATTTTGAGGGAATTACCCCCAAAATCAATCCCAGCCTTCCCTTTGTGGTATGGTACCTTGCAGTACAATTTCAGAGAATCCGTACACTTGAACACAAATTATTGTCTGGAAACTAGAAAAATGCTTATTTTTGGTCCCTTTTTGGCCCCTTATTCCTAAACGTTTTGGGCAATTACCCCCGAACACAATTGCAGCTTTCCCTTTGTGATATGGAACCTTGTAGTACAATTTCATAAAGATCCATACACTTACACACAAGTTATTGTTATGAAACTAGAAAAATGCTTGTTTTTTGCCACTTTTTGGCCCCTAATTCCATAAACTTGAAGGCAATTACCCCCAAAATCAATCCCAGCATTCCCTTTGTGATATGTCTTGTATATCTACTTCATTTCATTAGATAGCTTTGCCATGATCGACTTTTTAAAAAATTCTGCTTTTTCTGTGCGTAAAAATACATATAAACATAACCCATTATAGTTGGAAAAGTACAAGTTTGTATACACATGACTACTGGTATTAATTGAGGCCAAAAAAGAAGAAAGTTGTATGATTGCCAAAGTCTTCACCAGACTTTTTTTTCTTGGTCATTTGTTCACAAAGTACATGCCGTTTAATCGTGTAGGAATTTTATAGTTTTATCAATTATGAATGAATTCTTAAGAGCTTATCTTCACATGTGATTGCATTCTAGTATAAAATCTCATTTCAGCTGCAGAACTAGACACACTACAGATTCCAGTTGGAGGAGATCAGCTTACCAGGGTCAGATTCCAAGGGGCAAAGACACTAAGAGCTGGAGCACATACTAAGCAAGAAAGATTTGACCAGTTATACCCAATAGTAATTGAGTTGTTCCACACTCTTCAAGACTTTCTAGAGGTATTTTAAATATATAAACCATTCTGTCAAAAGTGACTTACATGTAAATAGTAGAAAACAAATCCTATAAATGAAAAATGCTTAACATGGACAATTTATCATTTATATAACTAAAACATGCAATGATACCACTAAGAAACTATAAAACATTTTAATGTATTAAAGCTTTATCTTCATAAAAATTCATATTTCTCAGAATAACTAGCTACTGGCTTGAAAATGTAATCAATACAATCATTGAAACATTAAAGAAATGTATGGATACTAAGAAAATAAACTGTTAAGCATTAACTAATGGATAATTAGTCCTGATGTTTTGCTGTATATCACCTAAAAGACTTTTAGGAAATTTTAAATTGTTTTATTTGTGATGTAACAAATAGGAGAGAGAGTAAATGTAGATGGGACACAATGGCACACAATACATAGAAAAATACAAATTATCAATGAACATAATAGCTTTTATCGTGTTTATTTCTGTTCTTCATCTTGACAGTTATGAAGGGTCTTCAACAATGAAAGAATCATTCATACCCTACAACAATGTCAAAAAAGACGGTTGTATATGAGTACCAGTCAAAAGAAATAAGGAAACAAGGGCCATTCTACAGTTTAATTTGTAGAATGGTAATCTTTCAGTGCCTTTTTGTAACTTTTACATCATTTGGTCTCTGTTCATGCTGTGGGAGAGTTGTCTCATTGGTAATATCATACAACATCTTTTTTTATTTTCACATGTACATTATGCTTATATATTTTATTTATTTTTAAGAAACTATGCAAAAGATTTCTGAAATTAGGTAACAGCAGAGACCAGGGAACTTTAGCTAACCTGAAGATTTTGATTCAGAGGTCAAATGTCAATGGAAAGGTGAAAAGTAGATTTAAGGTATGTGAGGATACTGTTCAGGTACTTTTTAAAATGGATCTTAAAATGAAAACCAAATTTATCTACAATTAATTTTAGTCTGCGTTAATTTTAGAATGTGTACATCAATGAAATATGAGAAAAATTGGTGAACATAAGTTCGACAGCAAAATGCTAAAGAGAACATTTTTTGTTTGTTTGGTGATATAAAAAAGAAGATGTGGTATGCTTGCCAATGAGACTAATTTCCACAAGAGACCAACATGACACAGAAATTAACAACTATAGGTCAATGTATGGCCTTCAACAATAAGCAAAGCCCATACTGCATAGTAAGCTATAAAAGGCCCCGAAATGACAATGTAAAACAATTCAAACGAAAAAACTAACAGCCCAATTTATGTACAAAAAATGAATGAAAAACAAATATGTAACAGATAAACAAACAACAACCACTAAATTACAGGCTAATGACTTTGGACAGACACATACATGTATGCATTCATGTTATTAGTAAAACTCTTTAATTTTACAGCATCATAGCAATCAACACAATTTCAGGTTCATTGTTTTATTTCCTCTTGATAACAAAATTACATGTATAAATTTGCCAAATAATATTCAACTTTTTTGTTTAAAAAATAACCTGGTTCAAAGTATTTTTTTACATAAAATACTGTGTTATTATTTATTTTAGTTTGTTTTTTTAGGCCCATGAAGACTTTGTCCTTACTGTAGGGCATTCTTACTTCCTTGAATATGCGATGAAAAAATTTGATATGAAAGACTTGGACGACACACCAACCCACAAACTGTTACCTGAAAATGTTAAACAGTTACATGCTCCTTCAAAACAGAAGAGTTTTGATGCCATTATGGAGGAAGTGATAGCAGACATTTATATACCTTATGAAACTCAGGTATTTATGAATAGAATTCTACAAACACTTCTCAGTTAAACCATTATTTTTGGGGTAATTACATTGCATCCATAAAAAAAATTATTTCATTATTGGAAATTACCTATATTTTTCTTTAATTTCACATTCTAATAGTTGAAGTTAACTATGACTACTTAAATTTGTTTTTCAGATCATAGTTTGGTATGTCGTCATCATAGTTGTCTTGTACATTTTTTGTTAATGAAACAGCAATCTTACAGTACATGAATTTACATATCAGTCACATCGGGATGATAACTTTACTTTCTATTGGTCAAAAGACAAAATAATTCTGGAATCACAAGTTTCATAAAATAATTTACACAAAATGTATCACCATTTATTGTTGGCTTCGTCATGTCAAAAGTGAAGTAATATATACAAATAAGATGTGATATGAAAGCCAAAAGATCTAATGTAGTAAATATAATCAATTATAGATCACAATACAGTCTTGTATATTGCAGACAGTTTTTTTTAGTTTATGAAACAAATGTTCATTTATACCACAGATTTTTTTATTCATATTGTCTATACATGTATATACTAATTTCAGGCACCCAAAAAAATGGATCTAAAACTACTGATAGCCAACCAGGCATACCAATGCTCTGCATCATTAAACAATAACACAGCAGTAGTACCACTCTTGTTTAATGGTAGACAGACTATCATACAAGTTCCTGTTCCTAGACTACAAGACTGCTGCAGCATAAATGTGAATGGCATTACAATTTTTATTCAGGAAGTGAAAAAGGGACAAGATGACCTGTTTAATTATGTTCACAATTTTCTTCAATGGTATTTTATTATTTTGCAAATGCAAGATGCTATTCATGAAGGAGATATGGTTAGAACAAATGTAATCATTAAGACAATGATTCCATTTTTTTTCTCACACTCAGTTCTTTCTAAGTATTTTACCGAATGTATTGACTTCATTCTAAAAACTGAGTTCACTTTGCCACCTCATGTTGCTGCAGAAGTGAGGGCTGCATCTGTTAACGTTCATGGTGGTATTGGGAAAAACAAGGCTGCAGACATGCACAAGGAAAATGAGGTTATGTTCTAAATTCACTGTGTTCAAACGAACATAAAGTATTTATGTGCATAATCTCTCTAGATTTTTGTATAGCATACATATCTGAGCACATTCAGATATGTACCTTTATACGATAAAGGCATAATAGAAAAGTAAATACATATTTAGGTACTGTTAGGCGCAATGACCATCTCGATTACTGTTAGGCGCAATGACCATCTCAATTTTAATAAGATCCAGAGATCACAATATTTTATCAAACATAAATAACAGCTCATGTTTTGAATACGGAAACCATGCACATCTACGCAAAAAAGTCCTTTATAAACATCACAAAATCTCAATTTGATCAACAATACCGGTAAAAGACAGCAATCAAACATCTACAAAATATATACAAAACATATTAATTCTTTACGTACAACTTCAATACATTAAAAAACAGAATTCTTAATGAAAATTAGACTTCAACACAAAAGAAACGTACGACAATGGTCACTGCCCAAACCTCGATAATTAAAATTCGTGCAAACTTTCTTTATATACTGACCGCCAAAACCGGTTTACAACTATTGTGAAAACACAATAGAATAAATTACATACTTCAAAAATCATACCCGAACTGCACATAAATATATCTATGTTCTAAATTCACTGTGTTCAAACGAACATAAAGTATTTATGTGCTAAATCTCTCTAGATTTTTGTATAGCATACATATCTGAGCACATTCAGATATGTACCTTTATACGATAAAGGCATAATAGAAAAGTAAATACATATTTAGGTACTGTTAGGCGCAATGACTATCTCGACGCACAAAGAAAGCAAACTTACATATCATATACCAAGATTTTGAGATACTGACAAACGCTTCTGTAAACTTTCTTATACATAGCCGTCTTTAGCTTGATCGGATTTCCACCGACTGTGTATTTTAAATAACCTATCTGAAATATTGTTTTGAGCGGCAGCTGTGGCACCACCCGATCTAAAACTATGCAGACCAAAATCTTTAGAGTTACAACCAATCTCTGATAATGCACATTTAACCAATTCTCTCGCTCTGGTATACGACAAACTATAGTTTTTCTTCCTAAGAACAAAATTCTGTGTTTTCTTCAAAAATGACAAAGGTCTAAATATATACATATCTGAAGACAAATCAATATTTGCTGACCTTAAATAGCAGTCTAATATTGTACATGGACATTGTGGAGTGTCAAGCTTTGATATCAATACATGTCTGCCTTTCCTGTAACAGTCTGTTTTACTCTTCTCAATAAAAATGTCTATATATTGATTACAAAATGAAATGTGCTTTGCTTTTATACTACAAAGTTCTTGATACCTTAAAAATCCGGTATAAGATAGTGCACACATTGTTAATAACCGTAAATCTTTAAGAGAACGACCAACTGAATTGTACTTTGAAAATAATTTGATCATAATATCAGAAGTAACTGGACTCTTTTTCTCTATAGGTCTGTTCAATTTTCTTCTTGATGCTTCTACGATCAATCTAACCATTTCAGAATCACATGGATTAGCTACCCCAGCAAGATTATGTGCCCATTTAATTCCATAAAAAGCGGATTCTATAACGCTATAATGATTAGCTGATTGCATTAAATTTTGTAAATATAGACCTACATATAATTCTTGACAGGGTAAAAGTTAAAACACATTTAATTTCAGAGTATTTTTCAGCCCATTTAACGAATATTTTAAAATATCCAGCATATTTTTCTACTGTAGATTTTACACGAGCATCAAGAATGATTGAAGATAAACTATTAAACAATGATCTAAGTTCAGGATGTTTAATCTGTTCGTTCTGTGACCAAAATCCAACAGAAAATATTGTCTGCAAAATATATATACAATCGGTAGAATAAAGTTATAAATATAAAATACAGTACCTTGAAACTATATCCATACTAGTCCAGTGACTTGGTCAAATAATAATACAATCTATAACAATAGTCCAGCGACCAATAAGATGAGGGTCCAGTGACCAAAAAAGGCAGTCCAATGTGTGTACACAGTAACACCGTAGCAAAACGCAATACCCAGTGGTAATATAAATCTGTAAAATAAATATACATATTACACAACCGAAGCATTTAAATGTACAGCTAATATTTCCCCGTGAAATTTACCATTAGCAAACAAAGAGTTTAAATTGTTACCAGCAACAAAAATTCTTTCCACTTCATGAAATTCTAAAACATCAACAACATAACAAGCGTATTCCAAGTTCTGTTTAAAAATCAAAGGCCAAAATGCAGCAGACTGCCATTTAGGAACAACAAGTGTACCCTCTGCTACACAAGAGACTAAATGGTTAATACAGTTACTAACTAGACTAATTGGCGGAACTAACCAGTTGTTCTCGCCATTCCAGTTGCAAGTGAATGCATCTATCGCTGATGTTGTAGGATTCCAATATTTCGAATTAAACCTAGTCAGCTTAGTATTATGCATGTTAGCAAACCTGTCAACAGTGAATGGTCCCCAGATGCTATTCAAGAAATCGAAAAATTCAAAAGATATGCCCCAATCATCAATGTCAATAATTCTACTCAAAGCATCAGCCTTTTCGTTTTCCTCTCTAGGAATCCACTGTGCATATAATGAAATATTACGCGACACACAAGTATTAAAAATTGATAAAGCTAAACCTTGCAAGTGTGGTAATTTGCTTCCTTTCTTAATGATACTAACAGCATTTTGATTATCTGTGAAAAAAGTAACTGAACTGTGTTCTAATACTTTCGCAAAACTATCTAAAGATAATTCAATGGCTTTCACCTCTCTCCAAGTGGAGCTTTTTGTTGCCTCTGTCACAGACCATTGCCTGTGTGCAATATAATCAGTACCTTGTAAATAACCTCCTGCACCTATATCACTAGCATCAGTGAAAACATTAAATTCAGAATTATTCCGTAATAAAGGTAATGGCTTCAAGCAGTGAATATTTTGTTTCCAAAACAAAATTTCTTGAATACTATCTGAATGGTGTCTCAAATCAACGTACTGATCCCAGTCTTGTTTTAAATTTATAACAGAAAAAGTACACCTTGTCATAATTTGAGTAACATTTCCAATAGCTGGCGAAAAGGAAATTATTTTTCCACATAATTTAGCTAATAACCTAATTTTAACTTTAAAAGCTTTAGACAGAATTACATCAATCAAATGGATAAAATTATCTATTTTAATTAACGGCAACTCCATCAAAGAACTTTTCAAATTCCAAATGAAAACAAGCCAAACTAAAGTTTGAACAGGTGTCCATATACACTTGTCCTTGTTTGGAACAAAACCTCACAATATCAAATCGTTTTTGACCCTCACTGATTGTCCGCAACATAGCTTTTCAGTCTCCGCTAAACACAAGCCATCATCTAAATACGCTGTAATTTTGATACCACCTTTGCGCCAGTGAGCAATTAAAGGTCTTACAACTTTAGTGAATACGTATCCCGCTGAATAGAGGCCAAACGGCAAAACTGTAAAAACAAAATATTTTACCGTTTCACCAAACTTCCAAGAAAACCCCAAATACTTCTGATGATTAAGGAAAATGTTTATGTGATGATAGCCTGATTTTAAATCAAAGGCAAAACCAAAACAATCGTTTGTCGAAAACTGACTGGCAGTTTTCCAGTCCTCAAACTTAATTTTACTATAAACAACTTGCTTGTTTACGTGTCTCAAGTCTAAAATTAAGCGACCTTTACCTGATGAATTAATCGATACAGTTAACGGGTTAACAACATGCGGTCTGTTCGATACCTCTTTTATCAAGCTAGCATCAATCAATTCTTGAACTGCCTTTTCTACAAAATCTTTATGGTCTAAAGCAGATTTATTATTTCTTAGCAAAACGCTCTCTGGTTCATTAATCAAAGGTATTTTATAACCATTCTCAATTAAATCTAAAATAAACTTTGAAGCATTAATATTTTTCCAAAAATCTAAAGAATTTTTCAGTCAATTTTTAACATTTATACAAGAAGTACCAGATTCATAATCATAAAAAGAGTCAAAATTTTCTACATTCTGTACCTTAAGAATATCTGGAGATCTCTCAGTATGGTGCTCCTCTGGAAGCTGCTGAATTTCCCCCTTTTTTACAGTCTTTAGCCCAATGTCCATACAGACCACAGTTGTAACAGATGTCCCTAGCTCTGTTACGACGAGATGTGATGGGGGCGGAGGCCCCCGCGACAAGAAAGGGCTGTTGCTGTGAAAAACCACCATTATTACCATTGTGAGCAATACTAGATGGACCACCAGCAGATTCCGCGGGTCTTTTCTTTATGTTTTGACGCTTATCCTGCTTCACGGTTTTCAATTTCTTCACTGCTCTGCCATCAGCCGCCCGAATGCGCTTCTCATCCTCTGAGTCACTAGCCACGTCATCAGACAAATACTCGTCTACAGTTTTCCAACCACCTTCGGATTTATCTGCTATTCGAATCAGCTTATTCCTTTTCTTCAAAGATTTACCAGATTCTAACAGCACTTTGACGGCCTTCTCATATCTCCGGTGCTCTATACAGTCTACAGCAATATCAATATTATCTAACATCAGAATTTAAGTCAAACTTAACTTTGTTACCCTTGAACTTGAAGGAACTCTCAGATTTCTGTACCTTTCGTGCAAGATCATGTGTGGTATCTGCAAAATTTCTCTCAATTCCCGTCAACTTTCTGGTAAAATAGGTTTTCATCAACGACAACAAATCAGCATTTGTAATTTCATCAGAATCAGCTTGACACGGCAGCTCTACACCTTCCATATCAGGTAGTTGATCAGGCTCGATATCAGACATAACGAAAATAGACAATACAAAAGAAACGTTCGACAATGGTCACTGCCCAAACCTCGATAATTAAAATTCGTGCAAACTTTCTTTATATACTGACCGCCAAAACCGGTATACAACTATTGTGAAAACACAATAGAATAAATTACATACTTCAAAAATCATACCCGAACCGCACATAAATATATTGAAGTTAGTTAAAGATTTGATCAAAGGTCTTTGGGCAAACAAGACCGAAAAATCTATTATTGCAATGTCAAAAGCAGCACCAGTTATAAACGATGTAACAACAAACTTTGACAAAATGTTGAAATTGAACGAATTCAAAACAAAACATAAAAAGAGATCATCGGAGGAAGACATTGGTACTCTAGTTAAGAAGCTAAAAGATCTTGATCTTTGGAATTTTCATGAAAACAGAGCACTAACATTGTTCAGTGGTATAAGTCAATCACCTTTCAACTTTGATACTGATGTGTTTTTTAGGAATATGAAATCAACCATATTCAGACCGCAAAGGGATTTGCCATGTGAGGCAGATGATGATAACAATGATGATGATGACAATGAGCAAAGTGACCTGGAAGATTAATTAAAACATATACATGTACTTGCATTTCATTAATTTACTGGTCATACATACGGTTGATAAAAATCCAAAAAGAAAAATAAAAAAAATCTGTTCTTGATGTTTAAATAAATTAATATAAAGTAGAAAGGTGAATGACTTGTACTCTTTTAAAAAGACTAAATTTCTGTATAAAGTCAATAGTTTGTTTAAAATTTTAAGCCCAAACTGTATTGCTTTTACAATGCTAATGAGTGTTTGGAAAAATATGTCTAAATGTCAAAGCAGACTTACTTCTTCGCATTTTTTTCATGATAAAAATTAGGCTATTAAATGCTGAAATAAATTTAACACAAGTCACCACATCAACACAATGTAAAACAGTGAGTTGTCTTATAAAAAAAATATTGTGTATTTTTCACTAAAATTTTTGCTATTTAAATCTTAAGTAAAGCAAATTGAAAGTCAAAATATAATCAATCTACTCATGTTAGATCATGAAAAGGTAATTTGATCAAAATAAGGCCGGATTTGTCCACCTCACAAAACCTTGTTGTGGGCTATAGTGAAAACATTATTCAAAATAAAATAATATGTACGGTTATATTTATAAGAGAACATTTCAAATGTGTTGCATTTTAATCTTTGTCACTTTTGTTTACTGTAACTGCCTGCAGTAACTGCAACATTCATACATTGGTCCATTAAATTTTGTTTTATTGAAGCCAAAGTATTGTAGTAGCTGAAGTCTTAGACATTTATCTTTTGTCTTGCAGTACTGCACCATAGCGTCCGATAAACCCTTACGATTTTTCGCTAGATCATTGTTATTAAAGTACATCAAAGCCTCAGCTTTCTGACCCTTTCTCCCAGCTCTTCCAACCTCCTGAAAATATTTCTCCAATGTAGTTGGGGGCCTACAATGTATTATTCTAGTAATTCCAGGTTCATCCAGACCCATACCCAATGCCACAGTTGCCAAAACCAACCTTAGTTTCGGTTCCTCTTTCCGTAGTTCAAAGAGTATGTGCTGTTTCATTTGTGATGTGTAATCTTTGTGAAACTGGCCAAAAATTCTATTTTCAGGAACTGCCTCACCTATGTACTGCTCCTCTTTTAGCTCATAATTTATGAATTGGTAGAAATACCCCAATGCTTCTAGACTTTCAACATACACTATTGTTAATGGGAACTTGTCCCTCTTAGTTTTAAGTTCTTGTGCTAGAGGAACAACAATGTCATCATACTTGTTAAACTTCTCGAGGTTTGACAATCTTGTTTTTATTTCGAGGAACAAATTTGGTCGGTCTGGGTTAACTTGAATTATAGTTGGGTTGATATATTGAAGTGTTTTGGAAAGAAATTGTATAGAACTTGGTGTGGCAGTTGCTGTTACAGCTAGGTGAGCAGCATTAGGAAAAAGGGCTGTTAGTTCTCCAATCTGTTTAAACTTTGGTCTGAAATCTTCTCCCCTGCAATTTTAATAATGTGAAATTTGACAGCAGAAAAGAAATCAGTAAAGGGTATGACTTTTTTTTCAGAAAGTAACATAACAAAACCTCCAAATAACATCACCTAAATATTAAATCTAAGTTTTAAATCATAATTTCAGACTCATTAACAAGAGCAAGTCACTGCATGATCGTCATGAGGTGTAATGATTTTGATGTTATGTAAATTAGTATGATTGGAAAAAAGACATGTCTAAAATTTATAAATTTTTTGTATGCCAATATTTTGAAGTATTTGCATTGTTGTTTATCACTGTACATATGTTGGGTTCTATCAATAAAATAGTTTTTATCTTGAATAACTTGAATGAAATGATTAAAACATGTAGATGTCTTTAGATCAGAAACTCATTAAATAGATTTTAAGATGAAAATTAAAAAAAGTTATGAACTTTACTAAAACTAGATATTCTCAAAATTTCTAACAAACAACCAATAATTTTGAAGTTATTTTTCTCAATCTTTTTAAAATAAGGTATTGGTAATCATTCTGAATCTTTTAAATTAATCTATATTTTCATGAGCTTATATGTTTATATATATACGAAATGTAACATTGTATAACATCATTGTAAAATTCAAACGAGACATAATATATATCATTTGTATACATGTATAATATATTTGCAAATCATGTAAATAAATAATAAATGAAGTTCACTTAACATCCAAATCAGTGTTATATTGATTACTAACTGTAATACAGAATGGAAAACCCCTACATGTATATATGTGACATTCAATTGCATGTGTTTTATTTTATTTAAGACTATTTGCAACATAGAAAATAAAGGATATGAAGTAATGGGACAAAATATCACACAATGCATGGACAAAGAAAAAAATTATCAATGAACAGAGTTTTGATTCTTGTTCTTCATCTTGACAGATAATTTAGGGTCTTCAGCAATTTATATATATATGGTGATTATGTACAGTATATATATCCATTCCAATATAGTAATTGCTCCGGGTCCCCAGGGCTCAAACCTTGTGTCTTACTAAAAGAAGAAAGACAGCACTAAAAAACCCTCATTATGCAATTGGAGGACATCTATATATGTAAAGAAATCACCATTTCAACTTAGAACTTGGTACACATGTAAAAAAGATCACACAGAATTATCTAAAATAAAGAAGCGTATTATTGTGTTTTTTCTGATCTTCAAACTTAAGTTTTGTTTGATAACAAGTGCCTCTATTCTGGTCTTTTCTTTATTCAATCGCTTTGGTATCTTCATTTTTTTAAAATACTCACCACTCCTCAATCATGTGAACTTCATCAACTGCAATGCAGCACACCTTTTGCTGAAAGACTTTGCTGCACAGTATTCTGCTCAAAACTGGCGTAAACATAGCCTCAGGATGGCTGTACAAAATCTCAATATCCCCACTTCTAATCATTTCCATATCGGTCATTGTTACCTACGTTTGAAAATATTTAAGGGTCATTTTGAGAGGATTTACTGAATTATTGATAAGACATTTTAATTGGTAAAACTAATTTCATTACAAGAAAAATTTGGACTGTGAATTCAGAAATTATTGCAAAAATGTGACATGTGTGACAGGGTTGTAATCATAGTAATTTGAACTCGCATTTTGGAATTTTGGATTATATGAATGAAGCAGAATTTTTCTCAATAACACTAAAATAAAAATCGCATTTTGATTTAAAAAGACAAAAACCAACTAAAAAATGCTTGCAATAATTTCTGATTTTACAGTAATAACATTTTAACACCAGATGCACATTTCAGCAAAGCTGTCTCTTCAGTAATGGCCAATGCAAAAACAATCTGAAAATCAAAACATTACAAAATAAAATGCTCCGCTGGGCCCAGCTTGATACGACCACAGAGGTCGAACCCTGAATAGTTGGGGCAAGTATGGACACAACATTCAAGCTTGATACAGCACTGAATTTGGATTGTGATTAAATATTTGACACAGCATAGGTTTTTGACACAGAATGAATGTGGTCTAAGAACTTAAAAAATTTTAATTTACCTACTCAAACCATATCATTATTATTTGCTTGTTTATATAAATCAGAAATAACCAATTTAAAATGGAAAATTTTAAAGAAAAAAAAATCCCTCCCCCAAATTTTTTGAACCCCCTTATGATTCATCACCCCCAAAATCAATCCCAGCCTTCCCTTTGTGGTATGGTACCTTGCAGTACAATTTCAGAGAGATCCATACACTTGAACACAAGTTATTGTCTGGAAACTAAAAAATGCTTGTTTTTAGGCCCCTTTTTGGCCCCAAATTCCTAATAGTTTTGGGCAATTACCCCCAAACTCAAACCCAGCTTTCCCTATGTGATATGGAACCTTGTAGTACAATTTCATAAAGATCCATACACTTACACACAAGTTATTGTCCTGAAATTAGAAAAATGCTTGTTTTTTGCCCCTTTTTGGCCCCTAATTCTTAAAATTTTGAGGCAATTACCCCCAAAATCAACCCCAGCCTTCTCTTTGTGGTATGGTACCTTGCAGTACAATTTCAGAGAGATCCATACACTTGAACACAAGTTATTGTCTGGAAACTAGAAAAATGCTTATTTTTGGCCCCTTTTTGGCCTTCCTGAACGATTTGGGCAATTACCCCCAAAATCAATCCCAACCTTCCTTTTGTGGTATTGAACCTTATGGTAAAATTTCATAGAGATCCATTCACTTAAACTAAAGTTAGAGTGCAAAAACCAATGTGTCTTCGGACGACGACAACGCCAACGTCATACCATGCAATGCAAATTTTTTTGCGGTCGTATAAAAAAAGATGAATAGCTTATCAATAAAAAATAAACAGCTGCGCCATGCGTCTTGTGTGTGAATTTTTATGCAATAAGCATAAATAGTTTCTGACATGCGAAAACCCCCCTTTTTCTTTTACAAAAAACTAAATATCTCTTAAATAAAATTTTGAATCAAAACCAAAAAATAAACAGATCTTTAGATTAATATAACTAAGAAGTGTGTAAAATTTTAAGCAATAATCATAAATCGTTTTTGAGATACAGCGCGACATGTGAAAAACCCCTCCCCCTTTTTTTACAAAATACTCAATAACTCAAAAATAAAATTTTGAATCATCACCAAAAAGTATACAGATCTTAAGGTTAATATAACTAAGAAGTGTGTAAAGTTTTAAGCAATAATCATAAATTGTTTTTGAGATACGGCGTGACATGTGAAAAACCCCTCCCCTTTTTTAACAAAATACTCAATTGCTCTAAAATTAAATTTTGAATCATCACCAAAAAGTATACAGATCTTAAGATTAATATAACTAAGAAGTGTGTAAAGTTTTAAGCAATAATCATAAATTGTGTTTGAGATACGGCGCGACGTGAAAAAAAACACACACCTGTTTTAGTTACTAAGTCCCGTAACTCAAAAAGTTTTAATCTTATTTTCACCTAAAAGTATACAGATCGTTTGACCATCATAATAAAACAAATATGTTAAGTTTCATGAAATTTGGATAAGTCATTCTCAAGTTGCGGTGCGACATGTTTACGCCGGTCAGACAGACGGACGGACGCCGGACATTTGTATACCATAATACGTCCCGTCAAAAATTGACGGGCGTATAAAAAAGTGTAGCTGCAGGGCTCGCCATGATCTGTTTAATGTTGGAGGTGCTCCATAGATGGTCTGTTCCTAATCCTGAATTCACTCAAACCAGATATTGTGTTGAATAGCTTTTTATGAAAAATATTTATTAATTTACATTTTCTGAAATAGAAGTACCTATTCTAAAGTAACTTTGGGAGCTCATCAACTTGGACCGTCTATGAAGAAAACTTGGACCGTCAATACATGCAAGACAACTTGTAATAAGTATAAAATAAGACTTTTGATGAACTTAGTCCACATATTTAAAGTTGACAATTATATGACTATTAAAGTACAAATGTACATATATGATTGCCAATTAGACAACTTTCCAGACAATTACAAGTCACCACGTATTTAAAGTTGACAACTATATGACTATTAAAGTACACATGTACATGTATGGCCTTCAACATGGAGCCTCGGCTCACACAGGAAAGCAATAGATAGAATAGTAACATAACATTGATTTATTGATTGAATGTTGTCTTTGTTAAGTTCCAATGACAGATATTCCATACAATTGTTGGCACCCGCATTAACTAAATTAATTTTTTTTTGTAATACCATAGATGTATAAACCCATAGATAAAGCTCGTCAACAGTTCCCTACTGTTCTCTATTGTTAGATAAAAAGAACCATGACCAAATTGACTGTCTTTGATGTTTCATGTGTGTTGTCCTCAATCAAGTAACTTAACTACATCTCTTATCTGTTGATCTGTATTGACCAGTACAGCAGAATAGATTTTCTTAATTGTCTTCTCGAGTTATGTCCCTTCTGTTGTGAGAGTATGTCTATTTTCATCGCACTGGACAGACAAATAAAATCGTGAAAAAATGGATGAAATCGGTCAGAAATTGCGCATTTTACAAGGGAAATATTGAACTAAATTTAAAAATGTTTTTTAAGGCTTGTATCTTTATATTTTATAAAAACTATGTTCCTGTTAGTTCCTGACAATGGGAATAGCACGTTGTTGAACTTCTAAAATAAACCTTTTCTTTGATATGCTTCATTAAGGTGTCGAACTGCGTCGAATTTGGGAAAAAATTAATAAGAAAGTACATTCTTTTCTTTATTTCATCAGTTTTTCTACATTTTTAGAAGAGAAATTGTCTTTTTAAATCATTTTTATATTTTTACGAATAGGTTACTAAATATAGATGTATTTTATACATCTATGGCTAAATTATAATAAGTTTAAGCAGGTTTATACATCTATGGTTTAAGTAAAGAGTTTTAGTTTACTACCAAAACATTCCATGTAAAGCATGGTAAATAAATATTATGGAGCATATATTCAACTTTTTCTATGCTTTCTATTAATTATATTTTTAATAGACTCGTTTATAATAGTTAACATACATTGTTTAAATAAAGTTAAATTGTGATAAAAGATATAAAATCTAAAAATGTAAATATGATGAAAACATTAGTTCTGGCTAAAAAAAAAATATCCGCATTTATTCATTTCTTTTCGAGAATAATTTGTAGAGTGAGAGACCCATATTCGCCGCATAATTCGCTCATTTCCACTTACATCCGACCTACATTCGAATATTTGGAACTTTTTATGAAGGTTTCAGAAATTTAACTATATGAAAAAAATGTTTGATAAAGAAATTATCTTCAAAACATTGGTTAATTGTTCTAAAAATTCGTAAGGGTTCCGCGGAACCCAGTGTCTCGCCTACTTTTGCTGTTAATCGCAGGCTCAACATAAATAAGGAAAAAAATTAATAAAAATATTCCTCTCTATACTATCTATTGATTGTAAGTAGCTTCTGTCCAAGTTTGGTAAAAATCCAGGATGGTTTTTGAATCTAATAAATGATTTTAAAACTTTAACTGCAGACTGTATGTTAAGTTAACTGGAAGAAAAACTAAGTCCATTTATAAGTAAAATACGGAAAAAATGGAATTTTTTTTTTACAAAATTTACCTCTGGATACTATCTTATGATCATAAACAAGCTTCTTTCCAAGTTTGGTAGAAATCCAGGATAGTTTAAGAAAGTTATTAAAATTTCAAAAACTTTAACCACAGAGTGAATGTAATGTTAACTGGCAGAAAAACTAAGTCCATTTATAAGTAAAATACGGAAAAAAAGGAATTTTTTTTTTACAAAATTTACTTTTGAATATAATCTTATGATCATAAACAAGCTTCTGTCCAAGTTTGGTAGAAATCCAGGATAGTTTAAGAAAGTTATTAAAATTTCAAAAACTTTAACCACAGAGTGAATATTTGTGGACGCCGCCGACGACAACGACGACGACGACGACGACGCCGACGGAATGTAGGATCGCTATGTCTCGCTTTTTCGACAAAAGTCGAAGGCTCGACAAAAACGAACGCAAACTCAAGAGGAAATCAAGTTGTTCGTGTACCATGGGGGACACATTTTCGCCGTAAAGTATGATATGACAATCCTCATTATCCTGGTATATTATTAAAAAGGAATTAATGTTTGTAATAACATGAACTAGCTTGAGAGATCATTCCTATACGATTTTTCTCACAAATATTTACTTTAAGACTGCGCATGATTGCCATATAAATCTTACATAGTTTCCAAAATCATTTAAAAACACCTGCGTATTTCTAAATATGTGCGAATAACCTTGGAAATCGGGTAAAGAGGAATATCAATAGTTGTAACATTACAAACAGCCTTTATCATCTATTTAGGCAAGTATTGGGTAAAGGCACACAAATTTTACAGAAAAAATAGCAAAACGGCGAAAATGTGTCCAAGGCGAATATGCGCCACCCACTCTAATATTGTTTTAC